CCTCTCTGGGGAGGGGGAGCGCCGGGGGGGCAGGCAGCACCCCGGAGACAGTGCTGGGGGGAACCAGCTTTTAAGCTGGCTCCCCTCAACACCAACTCCCGCTCCCCCCGTCTTCCCCTCTTCGATAGAGGCAAGGCAAGGGGAGCAACTAGTTGAGTCAACTATCCGATAAACATTTGCTTATCGGACAGTCGACTAGTCGCTTACATCTCTACTCTGCAGTTTACATGTAGCAGGAGCCGGGTATGCAGGCAGCCTGGCTCTTACTACATTTAAAATGCAGAGCTGCAGTGGGGTAGGCCATGAACCACTGCAAGCCAGACCACTGTGGCTCTGCATTTTAAATGTAATAAGAGCTACCCGTCTCTCTCAACATTTAAACAACAGAGCCACAAGGGTCCCGGACTGGCACAAGCTGGGACTGAACAGGTTTGCTCGGTACCGGTTTACACAGGGTCCAGCATCCTGTGCCCACAGGAGGTCCCAGAACGAAGCTGGGACCCCTGACAGACAAGGGCTGCTGCTGGAGCAGCCTGTCCACCTCCAGCCCCAGCCCCTGCACTCCTGTTTCCCCCCACCCCATGCTGCCCCTGATACAGAGACAGCAAGGGGAGGGGAAGTAAGTAGTTGACTACTCCCTTAGATACATACCAGGTATATAGACAAAACACATTTTCTGAAAGCAATAATCACTGATGGGAAGAAGGTGATGTGGCATAGCAATCTCACAAATGGGCAAGTGAGTGGCAATACCAATGAGATCCCCTCCTCTTTCAAAAGGGTTCCCCAAGATGTAGGCAATTTTACAATGTGGCTGGGTTCCACAAGAGTCTGCCTTGTTCTACGCTCTGTCTGAGTAGTGCTGACCAGTAAACTCTTTGTCTCCGAAAGTAGAGACTGCAGGCTGCTTATCCCACCTCTTTAGGGAGAACAGCACCACTAGGGGACTGGCTCTTGGGCTGCATTAGTAACACTTAATCTAGGTCTGCTTCTCACTGAAGGACTGTACGAAACAAGCACCTTTTAATTCCAACTGCAACCACTTACAACAGGGAAAAAAGGAAAAGTTTCTCATGCTGATTCAAAATGAGACTCTGGGTTCCAATTGAAGAAAAAAGGTCTGTCCATAACATAATAAATGGATGCCAAATGAGAGCCTCTATTGAAGGAAGATTCAAAACAGGCCTAGAATCTGAATGGAAAGAGTAACTTTTGTAGAGTCTGATGGCTGTGCCTCCTCAACTTAAAGACACTGGCTGTGTCTACTGCACTATAATTCCCAGCATGATCGATCACCAAGCCTAAATGGCCAATTTAAAAGCTAGTTTACAAGTGATGAATAGCACACACATAGTCAATTAAGTACCTAGACACAACACAGATCTACACTATCCAATATATTGCTGTTCTCAAATATTAGTTATTTCACACAAACAGCTTCACTAGCAACTTTTGTGGATCCAGTAGACAAAATGCTTAAAATCTGCCGAGTAGTGAGTAGCAAACAGTGTGTCATATTTTGAGAATGTAAGTAGAAACAGGAATCTGGAAGTATCGAGAAGTAGATAAGGCTTATGTTCTGGTATATTACCATGTGTTGTACCCTACGATAAGTACTGCTTGTGTTTCATGTAAGCTAGATTGATTCTACTCTTTGGAGGGAGGGAATCTGTCCTCCCCCACCAACTCCCAGGGGTGTTATTTAATAAACTTAAATTATGGAAAGTACAATGGAGGGAACAAAGATAACTGGTAATTTGAATTGCTAACTATAAAGAGTTTGTTCAAAGAATAACAACCCCTCAGAAATTGCTCTGTCATCTGAAGGGGAACCTATGAAGAGATAAAGAAAAATTAATTCTATTCCATTTATTATGCTATTCTATTCCCTGACACAGAATAAAAAAATATTTATACTTTTTCCCACTCCCATACACCTTTTGAGCAAGGCAGGGGCCAGTCTCTCTCCTAGGAGCTGAAGAAGTGAAAAAGACCAACACTGTACCAAACTTACCTCAAGAAAGCCCAACTCATCCAGGAAACTCCGGAGATATGTGATGATCTTTGCACGGATTATAAACTTCTGTTTCACATATTCATTAAGAATTAAATCCAAGTATCTCTGTCGAAATCTAGTTTCCTGAAAAGAATGAATAATTTTAGAATGACCTAAATTATACTTGTTGCCCAAGAGGAAAAATAAAACTTGATCTTCATTTGATGCACACACATACAAAAGGATCTTTAAGTTATGCCAGATTGGCTTCAACACTGGGAGCAGCTGTTACCTTGTCTTTGAGCCCAAAGTGAAGGTGAGGCAACATGTGCAGGCATGGAGAGAGGAGAGTGATTTCCCAGGGAATAATGCTCAGCTCCCCTTTTTTTGTCTTTCCAGGATTCCCCTGAACCCCAATAATGTCTCCCCGACGCAGCTTGTTGTTAACATGTATGTATTCTTCCTCTGATTTGTAGTTCCTGCAAATGAAAAAATAAGCACCTTTTAAGTACTTTTTGTCCATAGATCAAATTTTTCTCAGTCTTTCCCAACTCAAAACACGTAATATTCACTTATTGGTTAGCATGAAGCCTCAAGGTACTGTATTGTGTTTGGGGTCTAAGCTGCAGCTCACAAGCATAGGGATGAATGAGATTTCCATTTTTTAAAGAAAGTACAGTTTGTTTAGAATTCTTCCAAGACTGTCCCTAGTTACCTGGAATTTGCCATCACTTGCAATTTGACTCCCTCTCCACGAAGATCATAGAAGATCAGTTTTCCTCCTGAGGCACGTTTCGCATGGATTCGGCCTAGAAATCCAAGGTTAGATGGTTCAATTGTTACAGAAAGCTTTCCATTTTCTCAAAACAATGATACATCTTTACATCCAAGCCAAGTCACAGCAGCACTCCTACCTTACACCCAGGCTACATATCACCAACCTCCAGCCCTCACTGGTTGGGGCAAGGAGAATAAGGTAATGAAAGTTTCATAATTCACCCCATCACACTAGTTATCAGCACTATCTCTGGGGGAAGGGGGAAAACCCCCATTCGCCTCTTCGCGTCCTTGCTCCACCACCCCCATTGCATCCCTTTCCCCAAGTCCCCTCTCTTGAGTGACACAACCCGGGGAATTACCGGAGGGATTTGGTGGGGGAGGGGGAAGAGGGGAACACAACTGGCACCAGGAGCAGATGTCAGCTGTCCCCCTCCCCCCAGCACTCACAGAAAGTGGAGTGATCTAGCCCCAGCCCATTGCACTCCCTTGAGCCCAGCTCCCAGCCATGTTACTTGAGGGAGTGAAGCAAGTGACCCAGCCAGGAGATAGCAGAGCATCTGGCACTGGGTTGCTCTGCTTCTTGCGCCTCTTGCCAGGATGAGTACCACCCCTGCTGCCTTTGCCAGGCGCCACTCCAGGCCACTTTGGGTCCCCTAAAGTGCAGGTACTGGGACAGCCACCCCAAACTGCCCTATGGACAGGACAACTCCGCTAGTTATGGACACGGAGCAGATACCTTGCTTGTCAAGGACTCTAAAGCTCTACCTCTCTTCTAAAGATCCCAACCCAAATTTAGCTCAACCCTGCCTCAGACCTAGCACCATGAGGAATTGCCAAGCAAGCTACAGAGTTGTGGAGGCATTCCTATCTACCTCCTTTCAAAAATGATGTTTGTCTTTGTAAAGGGGGCAAATGTCTTCCCCAATTCTCAGGTGAGTCTTTACCTGCCACTCTCACTGTAATGTCTCTCAGGTGATCTCCTGCCTGCAGATGGTTGTACCTCTCTATGAAGTCTGTGAGAGAAAGATCTACATGGAACTTGTGTGGGTAAGGATCTTCACTGGTGCCTTTCAGCTGCTGGATTGCCTGACTGCGAATCTTGTAATATTGCTGTTAACAGGCATAAATAAGAACATTAATATTAGACATCTCACAAGTTACAGTAGAATTGATGTGACTTGCAGAGGATTATGTCACTACAAAATAGAGACAACGCCTGAATTGAAAAACTTTCGTCATTTCGGAAGAGTCAACTCCTCTGACAGAAAGCACAAAAAAGGCAGAGGGCATTTATAGGTTGGACTAAAAAACTAAGCAAATGCAGTGATGATGCAGAAAGAAGTGAATCATTGCTTTAAACAAGAACCATTCAAATCTTAGATATATCCTCTTCCTCAGGCAGCTTTTTAAGGGAATATTAGTAATTGTTGCTTGTAGACTCTCTGTCCAATTAAGAATGACCATATTGGGTTGGACCAATGGTCCATGTAGCCCACTGTCCCGCCTTCTGATAGTAGCCAAAGCCAAGTGCTTCAGAGAAAATGAACAAAACAGGTAATGATCAAGTGACCCATCCTTTGTTGCCCATTCCCAGCTTCCGGCAAACAGAGGCTAGTGACACCACTCCTTTCCATCCAGGCTATCTAGAACCTTGCTATAGTCTTGGCCTTCACAACATCCTCTGGCAAATAATTCTACAGGTTGACTGTGTTGTGTGAAGAAATACTTCCCTTTTTTGTTCTAAGCCTGTTACCTATTAATTTCATTTGGTAGAGCATATAATTAAGGAATTCATCTTCAAATATCTGGAAGAAAATAAGGTGATAGGTAACAGCCAGCACGGATTTGTAAAGAGCAAATCATGTCAAGCCAATCTGATAGCTTTCTTTGATAAGATAGATAACAAGTCTTGTGGATAAGGGAAAAGTGGTGGACGTGGTATATCTAGACTTTAGTAAAGCATTTGATATGGTCTCACATGACCTTATCAATAAACTAGGCAAGTACAATTTGGATGGGGCTACAATAAGATGGGTGCATAACTGACTGGATAACCGTTCCCAGAGAGTAGTTACTAATGGTTCACAGTCATGCTGGAAGGGCATAACAAGTGGGGTTCCGCAGGGGTCTGCTTTGGGACCGTTTCTTTTCAATATCTTCATCGACTATTTAGATATTAGCATAGGAAGTGTTGCATAAATTGCAAGGTTCGTCCCCTGGAGGCTAGTCTAATTTGCCCACAGAAGACAGTCACGCTTGTAGGCTAGGTCCAACTCAATTTTATTGCTTGCAAGCAAGGTTCGGCTAAGAAGCTCAGTGCTCAAAGAAAGGCCGAACCCCCAGCATCGGGTAAGCAAGGGGTCTTATAGGGTTAACATCCTTCCTGGTTTATGTGCCTTAACATGATTGGTTACCTTATTTTGCTTCTAATATCCTTGGAAGTCAGGTTTATCTCCAAATAAGGTTAGCGGCACTATGCAAACCTGCTGACTCCGAGGTTACAGATGTTTGTTACATTTATTCGCTTGCTGAACAACGGGCGGGTTACACTTCCTACTTGCTTGCTTGACCCTGTCACAAGTGAAATATATATCTACATTCTTACTCAAGCAGGAAACTGGTTTCATTTCCTGCTACAGAAGCAAGCTTATTAAGTTGGCAGATACCACCAAGCTGGGAGCAGTTGCAACTGCTTTGGAGGATAGGGTCATAATTCAAAATGATCTGGACAAACTAGAGAAATGGTCTGAGGTAAATAGGATGAAGTTTAATAAGGACAAATGCAAAGTACTCCACTTAAGAAGGAACAATCAGTTCCACACATACAGAATGGGAAGTAACTGTCTAGGAAGAAGTACTACAGAAAGGAATTTGGGGGTCATAATGGACCACAAGCTAAATATGAGTCAATAGTGTGACACTTCTGCAAAAACAGCAAACATGATTCTGGGATGCATTAACAGGAGTGTTGTAAGCAAGACACAAGAAGTAATTCTTCTGCTCTACTCTGCGCTGATTAGGCCTCAATTGGAGTATTGTGTCCAGTTCGAGGCACCACATTTCAAGAAAGATATGGAGATATTGGAGAGGGCCCAGAAGAGCAACAAAAATTATTAAAGGTTTAGAAAACATAAGCTATGAGGGAAGGCTAAAAGAACTGGGTTTTTTTAGTTTGGAAAGATTGAGAGAGGACGTGATAGTGGTTTTCAGGTATCTAAAAGGGTGTCACAAGGAGGAGGGAGAAAAATTGTCCTCCTTGGCCTCTGAGGATAGGACAAGAAGCAGTGGACTTAAACTGCAGCAAGAGAGGTTTACGTTGGACATTAGGAAAAACTGTCAGGGTGTTAAACACTGGAATAAATTGCATAGGGAGGTTGCTCCATCTCTGGAGATATTTAAGAGCAAGTTAGACAGACACCTGTCAGAGATGATCTAGACAGTGCTTGATCCTGCTGAGGGGACAGGACTTGATGACCTCTCAAGGCCCCTTCCTGTTCTAGTATTCTATGATGTTAAAAAATGTGTACTTTTATAAATGTGCAACTGCTGAAATGTTCAGTGGTTACTTGCTTACATGCGGGAGGCAGGTGGGAGTCAGTCCTCACAGAGAGCTGACTTAAAAGACAGCTCCCAACGAGCACTAGCTTCACCAGATATAGAAGCATAAATGTGGGGGTAGGGTGAAAAACTGCTAATCAGACTCTTTTTGCAGGATAAATGCCATGTTTCAGTTATTCAATAGGATAGACCATACATGCTCATACCTAGCACAATTTCTCACCTAGGGAGCAGATTTCCTATTCAGATTAAATTAGCTGTATTAATAAACTGATTTTTTAATCAACTTTATATTAGGAATTATTTTTCCACTGCCTTTCTAACTTTCCAGCTCAACACTTATCAGCAATCACACAGGAATCAGTAAGACTAGCAACAACAGGCACTTGGCGAACTGCTCACATTGGGGTCCAGGCCTTCCTCATCAACTCCATTGCAGTTCTCAGACGACAGGGTCAAGGTAGATTTGCTTGAATGCTTCTCACTTTGCTCTTTTAGCTTTGCCTCTCTCTCAGTCACTTTTCTCTCTGCCTTCAAGCGTCTCTTCAGCTCACTGCAAAAAAGGGAAGAACCCAGATACAGAAGCCTCTTTAAGACGTTCTGGCACCTGTTTCCTTGTGTAAGATTCTTTTCAAGAGTCACCTTCCTCTTAATTCCCTCTCTTCCCAAGAGGACAAGCTGCCTTCCTCCACCTCATAGGAAATGATAAAAACCCAAATTCTGTTCTGCTCTCACCATACAGCCGTATCTGCACTACTAACTGGGCATTGTCTCACCGCGAAAAAGCAAAGAGACTTCAGGGGGTAGCCGAGTTGGTCCGTACAGGATAAACTCAAGACACAGCGAGTGGTCAGGCAGCGCTCTATAGATTAACGAAACATGCAGCGGGTACCACGATCTTCCGTGGGCGCGGCGCCCTGGCGCTCGGTGATTTCCCTGGATGCTGCACTGCGCTAGAGGCTTCACTTGGCCCAGAGCAGCGAGGATCGGAGCGCGCCCCAAGGACACTCCACTGCAGGGCCCCCTGAGCGCTGGGCCGCGCGCTGCTGGTCAGGCAGCGCTCTATAGATTAACGAAACATGCAGCGGGTACCACGATCTTCCGTGGGCGCGGCGCCCTGGCGCTCGGTGATTTCCCTGGATGCTGCACTGCGCTAGAGGCTTCACTTGGCCCAGAGCAGCGAGGATCGGAGCGCGCCCCAAGGACACTCCACTGCAGGGCCCCCTGAGCGCTGGGCCGCGCGCTGCACGACAAGCACCAACCTGCTTCGGCCATGAAGCGCCTGGAGCCTCCGG